AAAATTCATTAGCTATATTTATATATGAATTATTTAATATTTTTATCTAATTCTTAAACAATAATATTCCACGATTCGGCTTCGTCGGTTTCATGTTTCTCAAGCTGAAGCAAAAAAATATATTTAAAAAATAGTCTACACTAGTATAGTTCAGATGTCTTATTCAATTTTAAGAATAAATCATGATATATGTACCTTTTCAGTAATATTGTCTTTGCAAGACATTCGAATTTTTTCCACAGTTGCTGGAGCGTCCAACCTAAAATACCCTGTGACACCAGCATCTTCTCTTGCCGAATAAATGGCATTTTTAATGGCGAAAAATATCGAAGCGGATAAAAACAACGGTGGTTCACCAATAGCCTAAACAATACATTTTATAATATGTAGATATCCTGTAATGGAAGGTCAATCAATAATCTTTTACTTTTGATGAGTAAACAGCTCTTGGATTTTCTGAACCTTTCAGCAATGAGACTGTAAAGTGTTTCGGTATATCGGAAAATCCGGGTATTTTATAAGTACCAGGCCCCCTTGTGTATAACATTCCTTTTGGGCTGTATACAAGTTCCTCTAATGTAAATAAACCATAACCTTGCATAAAAGCTCCTTCAATTTGCCCCACGTCAATTGCTGGATTTAAGCTCTGTCCGACATCCATTACTATGTCTGTGCTTAAAACCTAATCGAAAGAAAGGAAAAACGGAAGTAATAACCTGTTTAATGTGGAAAATATGAAACACCCTGTATACTTCATGGTCACCAGTTAAACAGTCCACTTCTACCACCGAAACAGCTGCCCCACTAGTGAAATACAAATAATAGTTGACCGTACCTTGATCTGTTGTTGTTCCTATAGTGTGATTTCTGCGTACAACATAATTAATTAATTTTCATGGTTACCGAACATCATTATTATTATTCCTTAAGTTAATTATCAGAATCAATATGTTGTGTAAAAAAATAATAATTAATACACGATTGATGAGTATTAAAATTCAAAGGTTTTGTATAATATCTTATAGTAAGCTATTGTACAGTATACTATATAATATACACTATACATATGACGCATCAATAAGCATTGCACATTCACCACAGATATTTTCAATATTTTTCATAATATATT